ACACACACTTTCTTCTGCACACCTCCGAGCCACTGGGGCTGAACTCTGTGGTTAATGACTTTCCCACCCACTACACAGCATGCACATGTTGAAGCCGTTAACGATAAGTGGCTTTTCGAACTTGGTAACGTCCTAATGTCCCCGTTAATCTCACATTCCTCACTACAAAGGCCGCCGTGCATGTTCCAGCAATTTCAGCGAGATGAGCAAATTTGTGAACTATTAAAAACCAACAAGAAAACTTTTTTTTTTTGTTCAGTCCACCGACACTGGGCAACTTCATCAACTCTGTAAACATTTGTCCAAAGCTTCCTGATGGAAACCATGTTGGAAACAACACAGTTTGAGTCCAAGATCAAGTTTTGTTCTGATTAATAATTTAGGCGGTAGGTTCTGTGGTGAGCTTTTCCATCAGGCATTACAGAAGCGCTCTGCTGATCTGGCTGATTTAAAAACTGTACAACGCTGCATTAGGTGGACATTGTTTATCCACAAACAATAGAATAAATTTAAAATGAAAGCAAAGCATGTGTTTTAAATGGTAAGTACACATCTGATGACGACTCACAGTGTCGATCCAACAAGCAAGAGCTCAGCTTGTGTGGTTTTTGACCAGTCAGAGCAGAGAATAGGATTTTTTTTCTTATATTTAACTGTTTTAGTAAAGTTTAGTGTTGCTATTTATAGATAATATCTATGATAGAAAACCTGGCTGGGTGCAGATCTGGCCGTTTGCTCACAGCGTTAAACCTGCAAGTTCACCGTGTGTGTTATGACAGAGGATTCTAGGTTCAACCCTTCTGCTTTATTTATCTTATTGATTACTGATTGCACCTGATTGATTCAAGATGCTCCTCTGAAGCCTCACTTCTGTTAGTTACGCCCTTCAAGAGTCTCCTGCTGTAGAAAGAGCATGAATGTAAAACTAAATTTACTAAAATACTAAAATAGCAGAGTCAAAAGCAAGAATTATGCACCACAAAAACAAAAAAACAAAAAGAATGACAGCATGCTGATGAAGCCTGACAGAAGCAGATATATGTGGCCAACAGCACCAGCAGTGATTTCAAATGACTGTAAAACCCTGGAAACACATCCAGTGGAGCCTTAAAGCAAAGTTAAACATCCTGCTCGTTAGCTTACATGTAAAACACCACTCTGTTGCTCAGGTCACGTTAAATGACCGGTTGAGCTGCTCCATGCTATGAAACGTGTCTGTCTGGTTATATCGTGACTTTATTCAGCGTCCACCGGTGGCCGCGCTGAGCGCTCACATGTCCGGCCTCAGGTGAGCACGGCTGCGGGCTGAGAGGCTCGGACCTACCTGGAGGTGCCTGAAGGCGGCCGTCAGCTGGGTCATGTGCAGCGTGAGGCACCTGGACGTGCATCTGGCGCTGCTGATCTTCTCCTGAACATCCTCCTGCTCCGGTGAACTCCTGCGAGCTCGAGCCGCCGCCAGCACGGCGCAACACAGCAGCAGCAGGCGGGCTGACATGTCACCACGACGCGGAGCAAAGTCAACAAACGGCAGAGTTTTATGTTTGTTTTTTTGTTTGTTTGTTTTTTCCCTCCTCGCGCCCGGCTCCTCGGCTTCCTGCTCTCGCGACCCTGGAAGTTGAGAATGAAAGCATCTGCGCGCGGCTCCCGGCTGCGCGGCGCGAGCAGCGAGCGGAGCGGCTCTCTCCCCTCCTCGCGGACACGCCCACCGAGCACCGGCACAAGTGCTCTTCATCCCCGTTATCCTGATTATCATCATCATCATCGTCTCTCAGACCGTGCACTCCCGCCACTTAAGGCGCACGCGGCGGTCATTACCTCATCTTCATCTTCATCATCTGTTACCTGCTTCATTTTCTCCTCCATCTTTGGCGCTGGTGCAGCTGACCACCTCCAAGCTCCTCACAATCACTTCCATCATTAGACTTTCAAAAATAATTCAAGGGACCTTTTCTCACCATTAAAAAATCTGTATCAAATTAACCGATTTAACTTGTAAACGTTATTGCAACCAGTTGTGTCTCTTGACATAATAATGCTGCTAATTGCATTAACTTAACATTGTGTGTGATCTAAACTCAAACGTCTGCATTAGTTAGATTTAAAAGTCAGTTCAAGTTGATTTAACTTCATGAAATTGGGTTGGTAACATAACTTTTTTTTATCATCCTAACTTCAGGATTTCAAGTCCTCTGCCCAGTAGCAACACGCCAATTTAAGGCAGTTAGACTGATTATTTAAAAAATACAATTTAAACTGATTGTAGAAGAACCGCTAATTCACCCAGCTTAATGTAGTTTGCTAGAAGTTTTTCAAACTCTAAAAGATTAATGCAAAACCGATTTTCTTTCTTTCTTTCTTTTTTAGCCCCAAGAATTACTTTTATTTATTTTCTTTTTTTTCTTTACAGTGTACAGGATCAGCACTTGTAGTCTGTTGTCAGTGCAACAGGTCCAGGAATAACCAGATATGTGCATTCGTTTACGTGTGTCTACACGGGAAGTGAACATAATAAAAACTACCAACAGCTAAACTGAATCCATCTGCTTCAGTTTTAGCTTCCTGGCATTGTGCATAATGAATCATGTTCCTCTCCTACAGCATGTCGATCAGTCATAATGAGGATCTACATCTTCATCTGCACTTATATAGCAATATTTTAATAGCATTACTGTTAATTTTACTTGTTTTTAGATCTCTTTTTTAAAGCATCATTTATTAAACCAGGAGGGCTGCAAGGTGGCGCAGTTTGTAGCACCGTTGCCTCACAGCTAGAAGGTTGCTGATCTTCCTGTGTGGAGTCTCCATGTTCTCCCCGTGCAGCGTGGGTTCTCTCCGGGTTCTCCGGCTTCCTCCCACAGTCCAGAAACATGCTGAGGTTAATTGGTGATTGTAAATTGTCCGTAGGTGTGAATGTGAGTGTGCTTGGTTGTCTGTCTCTAAGTGTAGCCCTGTGATAGACTGGTTACCTGTCCAGGTGAACCTGCCTTCACCCTGAGTCAGCTGGGATAGACTCCAGCCCCCCATGACCCCAGTGAGGATTAAGGTGTAGACATAATGGATGGATGGATGATGAAACCATTAAATAATCTCAGAGATGTGACTCTACACCGTTGCTTCCTCCACAATGTGCAGATCCAAGACACCACCTCTTCCTCAGCTCGTGTGCAGGTCGAGCACATCAGCTCACCTAAAACTCTTCACAAACACTGTAACACGACTGAACACTACACAATGGCACGTTTTTAGTAAATTGGAGTAATTCAGGCGTACATGTTTGAACCAGAAACCAATTCTGAAGAAGAAGAAGACACATATTTTCTGCAAGCTGACAGGCCTGGTTGCTTGGATTTGTTGCATATGACACCGTAGTTGTCTGAATCTGTGATCATTATGTCGCTGCATCAAATTCAAAGAGGATTTTTAAAATTTGGGAACTGGAAAAAAAAAAAAAGGTCATTGCATTGACCTCTGTTGCTGATCCACTCACCTAGAACATCATCATCTTCATCATTTTGCATTCAAGCATTACAATTACCACTGCACTAAAACCATCATTTTCATCCTTCCCCCTTTGTTTCACCTGCACCATCATCGTCTTTATCCTCGTTATAATCTCACATACCAGCCTCTTCTCCTTCTGTCATGGTCCACTGGTCATCATACATTTATTCCTCCTTATCATTATTTTTAGTATCTCCTCTCCTTTTTGCCGTCGTCTTCATCTCCACTTCCACCATATCATTTTTTTTTCACTTTCATAATGATAATCATTACTGTCAGAGCCATGTGATAATCTTCAGCCTTATGTCAACAGCATCGCCGCGAGCATCGCGCTGCACATGAGCATAATCATCACGGCTGAGATATCATCATCTCAGAATGCAGGACCCAAAAGCAGGAGAACAAAGAGGCAGGTAGATCAAAGCTAAGGGAGCAGGATTCAGGAAGGCTAAAAATACAAGCAGAGAACAAACAGACGAAGGAATGCTAGAAGGCAACGGCAGAAAGCACAAAGACAATCTGTCATGTAGCGACCGTTGAACCAGTGGTTTGAGCGCTGAGGGGACTGATTAGGAAAGTGGATGCAGGTGAATAGAGAGGTCAGGTGATAATACTGATGGGTAAACAGGGTGGCAGGAAAGTAAAATGACAACCAGACTGAATCGTAACCCGGTAAACCATGTCACGGCTTCCTCATATACTTTATCTTTGGCATCACCTTTACACATTTATCATCTGTATCGTTTTCCTTTTGGTCTTTACCTTCATCTCCAACAGGATGAACATCAGCATCTTTTTGTTTCCAGTCATCATCACCGTCATCATCTTTAAAAATCTCTGGGAGATCAAACTAATCCAACTCAAACTGGATCAAACATCAGGAGAGGTACTACAGTGAAGTAAGAGAGAACATTTATGGCCTAATGGTTTGCATGGCAGGCTATGGTTCTAGGCCTATTAACACTTTACCATTACTATTATGAAAAACAAACTTCCCTTTATAGTCTGGGAAACCTCTCCAAGGGTAATTATTGGACTAATAAAAGCGCATTTATTAATGGGAAAGAGACTTAAAGAATGTGTTGAGGTAGGTGTCTGTCACAGAGCCAGTCGGTGTGTTAGTCACCACTTTTTGACAGGAACTACCGAGCCAAGTGGGCTCTTGTTTTTTTTGTTAGGACCACGGCCAAGTTCTACATGTTTAGGACACAGGGTTGAAAGCCCTATTTGTTTACACAAAACTGTAACCCAGCATAGGAGTCATCTCTGCTGGCAATGAGATGGAGAAAGAATCACCTAGGTTTTGATTGAGGGGAAATGGAGTCATATAAATATTTAGTAAGTACTGGCAGGAAGACCGCTGTTGGCCCTTTAGTGGAAACCAGACTTTTCCCTTAGTCCTGTATGGAAAGGCATGCATGCTGTAGGTTAGTATAACAGTATTATCTTGTTAACCCTTAGAACTAAGATATCCAGTGCTGTAGCTAAAGATTATTATCATTATGTTCTTAATTAATCATATTATAATTCCCCACGGCTCGGGGGGATGTATTTAGATGATTTAGCGTGATTTATTCCAAAAACTGTCCAAACCAAAAGACATTAAGCTTAGTGTATGAGGAAAGATATAAATCCTGACATTTGAGGAACCTGGAGGTGGTTTGTGGTTGGAAAAAATGAAAAAAGTAGTCAATAAACTAACTTATTAATACATATCATTGCAGATTTAATGAACAGCTATTAATATGCTGTGATCCCTTGTGATGGGCTGTGTGGCCTTAGTGTGAACCGGAGGTTGTGTATAAAAGATGGACAGAACCTCTGGGTCTGAGAAGTGCAGCCAATGTGGAAGTGCATTCTTTCTAACAGCCTGAAGGGGGCGACTCTTCTGATTGTGAAAACAAGTGTGATTATATATGTGAAAACAATCCCCACTTCCCTATCTTAGTAAACATTTTCCTACTAAATTTATGATCTCAACTGCTAGTTTGAAGACTTTTTAAATACAACATGATGCTTGTTTTGTTTGTTATGGTTTCATTTTAGAGTAAAACAGATGCTAACGTAGCTCATGTTTGAAGGTCAGGCTATGATGTAATCAGTATAATACTACTGTATCCTCACACATATTGTCCTCAAGATCTAAATGACATCCACCCACAGCCTCATGAGGTTTGAAAGAGTAAGATGGTGCCAGAAAAACCCAACATTTGAGGTTCTGAAAAGGACTAGAGGGACTAGAAGGAATCAGGTTCTGTATTTTATGAAAGAGAAGAAGAAGACAGAAAAAGTAAAAGGAAAGAGAAAAAAAAAAATGCTCAGAATTGGGTGTGACATAAGTTTTTTCTCGTCTTTTGTCATCTGTCACCATTCAGATTTATCTTAAGAGTCCCAACCTAGAGACCGATAAGCGTGGGTCTAAACAGCGCCTCCCTTCAGCTGCATTCCCACAACTGTGAGCGGGACAGAGTTGTAAAGTAGAAGGAAGGTGACAGAAAAGTGACCAAGTAACCTGATGTCTTTATCAGTTAATGTGTTCACGCGTCCACGTGTGAACCTCACCTCAGAGGACCTGAGCAGTCCCTCAATCAGAAAGCGTAAATTCAGTTCTTAAACACACACACACACACACACACACACACACACACACACACACACACACGATGTCCGTCTCTCAGACACACATGTTAGCACAGTAGTTGCCCATGACTGAAATAATATTTTCATATTTTCATAAAACACCCTGCTCAGGTTTCTGAATAAACCATTAGGGCAGTAAAGACCCTCCCCAACACGTACTCAAACATCAAGCACATGTGCACATTAACATACACGTAACAGAAGCATTCGCCGTCCGTCCAAATCTGCCCACTGATTGAAGCCAAATGTCTTTGAATTGACTGTAAAGGCAGACAGAGAGAGAGCCAGAGAGCGAGTTCAAAGAGAGACAGCGACATAAAGGAGCAGGTAGACGAACGGACCGACAAAGACAAACATATAGATATCTGAAAACATGAGGCAGAAACTCAACTCTTCAACCTTATTCTGTTGCATACTTGAGGCCTTGCAGTGAACCTAAGGAGCCTTCTCCTCATTAATGTTCCCGGCAGCCACAACTCAAATAAAGAAGAGTGATAAAGTAAGCAGCCTACCTTTATAATGCTCTTCACATGCTACGATAACACCATCAGATAGTAGTTATTCCACACACATGGTCGTTAGGCTGAGTGTATTTGTTGAACGAGGACGGAGCACACTGCCCATGAATTCAGCTTTAATTTGGAAGCAGATTATTGCGGCATTTCTTCTCTTAAATGGACTTTAAATCTCTTGACTGACGTGATTACAAGAAAGCTCATGAACCAACTGATGATTTTCACCCTGATTTTATAGCCCAATTACACCACATGCAGCAAAGTCTCGCCTTGTTCCAAACCTCTGAATCATTCCCAGCACATCTTTTTTTTTTTGTTTATTTTGTTTTCTTTTGCTTTTGAAGCAAACTGAAGTAAAGGCATGAAGGCAATGCAGTGTGATTATTAGGAAGAGGTTTTGGACGAGCAGGACGTGTGCTTAAATCACTCGTTGCAGTGGGAGTGTTGCGCTGTCTGCTCTTTTTCGCTAAGAGTGACATAAGAACACATTTTCACTTGAGTAATATCTGTTTTTCCCTAAATGTTCACAGAGAAAGTTCGGGTTTCATGATTAATGCTAATAATTGAAAGCATACTTCTACAAGTAGCCGTCTGATGATGAAATCTTATAAATGGAGATCTGTTGGAGATCTGACTTCTAAGCATTCATCATACCACATAAACACGTTTTATCACAACTAAACCCAGCAACATGAACTGTCTCCGTGAACTACAAAACAGAGGAGCTGCTTCCAATTCTAAATATAATCTTTAAGTGTTTGACATGTCATTGCTCTGATCCAGACTGTGTCATCAACTGAATCCCTGCGCGTTTAGCTGCTGCAGTCACAATCCCTACACGCCGCTATCATTCCTGTCCCAGATCACTGAAGTGGTCGGAGATTACTCCGTGCAGCTGGTACTACTCACAGCTCATCTGTTAGCCATCTGATTTCTGTCACCTTTAAAGTCTTTACCAGCAGTGTTTCTCAAGCCATGGCTCGGGGACCCAAAGATGGTTCGTTACTAAAGCTGAGCACCAGTGGTGGAGGAAGCATTAGGTCATTTTCTTGAATAAAAGTAGCGCCACCCTATAAAAATACTCCACCACAAGTTTAAATCCTGTATTCATAAGTAGAGTTTTTTTCATTTACAGTGTTCATTCTAGACATATAAAGTTTAAAGACACGGTTTTCTATCTTTTACCTACATTCTTAGAAATGCTAAAAAGTGCACCTACTCCAAGTTCATCATTATGAAAACTAGAATCTACAAATATACAAATACTTTTCATTTCCACTGCTAAACTACTGGAAAATGTGTCTCCCATCTCCATCACCTACTCACTGACAGTCCGTTCTTATTGTCTGTGCAAAGCAGCCTTCAAGTTTCCACATCACGCCGTTCACCACATCATCACACTGCACATCTTCTATTTGACCTGGACTGACTTCTAAACTCGCCGGTGCCACAAATCTTCTTCGCAGGTACACAACTTAAACTCAGATCTTAGGTGAGCTCAGAAATACTTTCCACTCTGAGCAGAACAATCTGAAAGAAGCCTTTTCAGTGCCAAGCTATGAGCATACATCAATTTTCACAGTGAAGCTCAAACGTTCAAGAAACAAAAACACATTTTTAAGTGAACGGAGCTTCACATAAAATGTGAAAAAACTGCCAAATAAAAGCAGCGGAGGAGAAAGTACAGAGTTTTCTTGATGAAAAGTAATAGAGTTGAAGAATGAAGTCTCATAACATAGAAATACTTTATTAAATATATTAATACTTCATATGTATATTTGGGGTTAAGTTAAGCCCAAAGGACGACAGGATGTTTCTAAATGGCGCTACAGTGTCACTATGTGGCATCTAACAGCAACTACAGTTTCACAAATACTGTATAAATTATTCAGATGAAACCTTTACAATTAGTGACAATTGAGTTTCAAGTGTTAGCTTTTGAAAACTGTGTAAACATTAGATCAGTGGTGACATTATTGTTTGGCTAAAATCATATTTTTACTATACTTCCACTACAATGCATGTGATTTAGTATAGAATATAGAATAAAAACACTTTATTCATCCCCAAGGGGACATTTAGTTGTTGCAGCACAAAGATGAAAAAGTTATCACCACCATCAATGCTGATAAATAAGCAAAAATAAACAGTAAGGAGATATAAAATGCAAAATGTGCAGCAAGTGTAACATGTCTAAGTAAAAAAGGTCCTGAGTCACTTCACACCTATCGTCTCAGGTGGACTGAATTTATATGTTTAAAGTTTTGTTCCACCCAAAATACTACTTTCTGTCCAAGTACTTTAATTTTACTATTATTGAATAAAATCCAGAAGTCTGAGTTGTCTTTGTCTTTTTTTAATTGAAGCTTCAGGTCACCCAGAGTGTAAATCAGTCTGCAGGAGAGTACAGCTGGGTGCAGACAGTGCCTTACTTTCATACAAACCAGGGGTTGCGGTTTTCCTGCTGATATGTAAACTTACAGTTGTTGGCCAGATTAGTTCATCTTCCCCGCAGCTGTGGAGAACTAGACAGCAAGCTTCTATCTGCAGGTGTGCAGATGTGGTTATGGTTAAGACAAAAATATCTACGCAACACAGTGTGCGTCTACTTTACAGATGTGCATTCAGAATCACAAGAAAGCTCGGCTTCTCTGCTTTTCTGCACAAGCAGCAAGGTCACTGAGGTAAACAGGTGAAAGGTTCTTTGCTGCAGCAATGTACAAGCAATAAAATTCCCATTACACTTCCACCTTAACAGGACTATATAATGAATAATTTATGGTTTTAAAAGTTTATTTCCACTTTTGCCTTTCAGTTCTGCAGTATTCGATAAGCGAGATTGTTTGATGAATACAGAACTGCCTAACCAACACCTGTGTGTCCTGAAAACAAGCCGTGACCTTGGTGTTGTGTGGGAAGGCCGGTCCATGCAGGACCCAGTGTATTCTTAGGGAGTGTTCTGTGAAGATAACCCACTCAGGCTGATCCTCCTCCACTGCTGAGTGACCTTCAGCTTCAACGTCTCAGTAGTCTCACTCTTTAGAACACGCCAATGCTGTCCTGCTGTCTGTACCTTTTATAAGAATCCGGTATTGATTGATCAGAAGTCTATGAAAGCAGCGCAGGCCTCCAGTCCGAGCGGGGCGGTGAGAGTACCGGAAGTACAACAGCAGCAGAAGAAGAAAAACCGGAAACGCGGCGGATGTTTTGGAAAACAGTCGGCATTAAGGGAATTCACTCAGCTCGGGATTACACATGTATTGCTGTTTGACCTGCTTCATTCCACTGAATTGTTGTACGTGGACTTTTCAAACCGCAACGAGGAACGTTAGCCTGTTCGGCCGCGGTTCTGTAGCTTGTTTTCATGAGCTAGCTTAACGGAGCTAACGGTAAGACTTAACTTTTGACTTGTGCGTCCTGTTCTGTGAGTCTGACCATCAGTTTGACACTTTACGTCAGAGTCATGACACCTGAAGAATGAGTTTAATATAGAGTCTGCTAACTTTTATATGTCGTTATATTGGTGTCATTACCGTCCACTGTAATGTGTGTTAGCTTAAGTTAACCTGTCGTTCAGCAGCGTTGAACTCACTGCTAACGCCACCACATGAAGAGATCGTAGAGAAGGCGTTTCATCATTTAAATAATTTCTTTTAAGTGTTTGTTTTTTCTTCATTTAGAGAGGTAAAGTCATGGGTTAGCTAGGCATGGCTGGTACATTTATCTCAAAAGCCAAGGAAGGTGGTGTGTTGTTGAAATCATGCTGGATTGTTGCTGTGAGGACTTTGTATAATCAGTGTGTCCTTTCATCAACAGAAAAATGTCTAAAAAGTCAAAAAAGAGAAAGCGCAAGAAGTCTTCATCCTCAAATGAAGAAGATGAGAAGGTGAGGAGAAGGCTGATCAGCTGTGTTTCCTTTAGCTGCTTGTGCTAACACATGATGCTGAGATACTGTAATATCATAAAGCTGCTTTGAAATGACCTTATTCATGGATAAAAGAAACAGACAAGAATGCCAGTTTTCGGTTAGTCCAGCGAGTAAACACCAAACAAATCAAAGAACTTTATTACAATCTTGCAAAAATCACAAACAAAATTAATAATCCATAGGCGGGTCCTTTCTATGGTCTACCACAGTATGAACATCTGCCAAGACATCTGCAGACAGTGCACATGTAACACTGCATGTCACAATTACTGTAATGTTTAGGTAATCTAAGGATTAGAGAGACAGAAAAGAGTTGTGGTCTAAATTATGAATTTACCGCCTGTATTATTTGTGTCAGAGGTGTGTCAGAAAAGTTCCAGGACTGGTGTCACAAAAGATATATTTCAAATCCAAACTACAAACTACCAGTTTTCCCCTTCCAAGTAACCCCCCTGGAGTCTAACCACTTCCCCAGCCTTCTCTTCACGCCGTCATGCACTCCTGGAAGGATTCTTCCAGGATCCTCTCAGCTCCGTCCTCACAGCCATCTTGATGTCGTCCACGTCTTCTAAACGGGTCTCCTTGATGACCCCCTTGAGCTTGGGGAAGAGGAACCAACCCCACGGAGCCAGGTGGGGTGAGTAGGGAGGTTGCTCCAGCACAGAGATGTTCTTCTCAGCAGGAGCTGTGGGATGCTCAGGGCGCTGTGAGCAGGTTGTCATGGTGAAGCAGCCTCCACTGGTCCTGACACAACTCTGCCTCTTCTCTGAACGACACAAACGCTGCAGGATCTCTTTGTAGACGTGCTGGTTGATCGTCTGCAGGGGAAAACTAATAGTTTGTAGCTTGGGTTTGAGATATATCTTGTGTGACACCAGTCCTGGAACTTTTCTGACACACCTCATATATTATTGGCCTAATTTAGCGCCACATTTACTGCTTATATTTTATATCCTATATACAGTTTTGAAGAGTGATTTGTTTTTCATCTTCTCTTGAGTGTGCAGGGTCAGATTGCAGGTTAGTTCGGCCTCCAGTGCACATAAACTATTGTAAACTACGGTGTTCTCACTTCCTCTGAGAAGCCCTTATCTATTTGGTCGCACAGATAAATCAGGAGAAAGAAAGGGAGTTCAGCAAACTTGAAAGTTGGAATGCTTTGGCATACTACGGTGAATTCTCAGTTATAATAGCTATGCTCTGTGGTGTAAGAGACAGATTTATATGTGTTTGGGGTAGCGTTACCTCTCAATAGTTTGTTTTAATAAGGTATAAGCTTCGTCTGCATCGGACAAATTGTACTAAACTCAGAAGGGCATCTGCTTTTTAAGGTTCTCTTTATTGTAGAAATGTCTGCAGCAAGAATTTACAAGAATTTACATCAGAGCGTTATGTTTAAGGAAAAAACAAACTGTTGTAACAATAAGAGATTTTAATATTTGTTGCCTTTTTTCAGGTATCAAGGGAGCAAGATGACAAGCGGAAAAAAGCTGTAAAGAGTCAGGAGAGGTTAGAGCATGTGTCACTGGTGACAACTAATTCATGTTGTTATGATTTAACTGCACATCATTCGCTTAATTGTTGTGATTTTTTTAAATGATCTCTCATTGTTATGTCTTTCGTTCCTCAACATGCAGCTGTACAAAGGAAAAAGAAAAATCTGTTCCTTCTACCGTTAAAGATGACTCCCAAAGCACCCGCCACATCAAGAAGCCTGTCTACAGATTGGCAAACACGCAAGCAACAGAGCAGAAACCTCTTAATAAGGAGGAACAATGTACTAAAACACAAAGTGCCTCTGTGCCATTCCATGGGGGAAATTGCTCCAGCAAAGCAAAACATTACATTTTGGGGAAAGATAAGACTGTGGAAAAGGGATCCTCAAAATACTTGAACACCGACGATTTACGTGCAGCTCCTCCGAGAACAGAGACGACGTCTAAAGGAAGACTAGATGAAAAGTCTTCCCCGAGGATCCCGTCCAAATTAAGAAAGCACTCAACGAGTTCCAGTTTATTCTCTGCTGAACAGGAGCTGAAGCACGATGTACACAGGAGGAAGTGTACAGCTGAGGAACCATCAAGAGCGAGAAATGACAGTAGCACTAACAAGACCCGGGAACCTACCTCCTCTTCCTTCAAGGATTCTCTGGAGCGACGGAGACGGGCGCTAGTCAAAGACAGATACCAAAGGCTTCATGAAAAGGAGTCAAAGGCCAGAACTAGCTTGTGTTCAGACGCAGAGCATCCCTCTGCTTCCGTCACAAAGAAGTCTTCCAGCTCAGCCAAACACTCTTCTTCAGAGAGTCGCTCAAAGGTGCTGAAGAAAGACACGTCAGCTTCGTGGACTGTCACGTCAGCTTCGCATAAAACAGCTCAGTCCCCATCTGCTCAGAAACAAATACCTCCTCTCATACCATCGGTGCCTCCTGATTTTAAGATACCTAAAAAGGTTCAGCCAGGACGAGTTGATGAGAGAAGTGATAATAACAAAGCAGTTCCTACCATCTTAAATGTCAAACATGAAGTTAAGGTCTCAGAGAAGGTTTCAGGGAGCAGCTCTAAGCAGGAAACCGTCAAACAAGCTCCCAGCTGTTTGGATGTTGCCTCTAAGTTTGATGGACCAGGTGAAAGGTTGTCTTTGTCTCGCCAGCTCTCAGCCACAGGTGACATCAACACTGAGCCACCATGGCATGACCAGGTAATAAAAAGCACTGCTCATTTATTCTGAAAGCCTTTAGCAAGCTGGTATATTCAGATTATGTGACATGTGTTTTGCTGTTTGTTAATAGGACAGATTTTCTATTTTTTGTGTTACTCTGTAGATGGAAGTGGTTGAAAAGCTTCATCTTGCTCGCTCTGAGAAGAGGCTGGAGGTCGATGTCATGCAGAGCTATGGGGAGCTCACCTGCATGGACATAGACTCTCCAGAAAATGGACCTGTAGACACACAGTGTAAGTTTTAGCGTTTTCTGTCAGACCTTCCAAATGTTGTATATTCACGTGTCAGTACCGTATAAACTCCTACATTCTGTGAAATGCGTTGTAACCACAAGGAGGCCCAGTAGGTCCAAGCCTTGTTATGGTTGTTATGGCCTCACTCTGAGTGTGATCTACCCACAACTATACATCATTTGAACAGATTTGCATTTGCTTGAGTTGAGGACAAAATAAAATCTGCTTAGTCACATTACAGCAATTTATTCAGATTTTCGATGCAACCAACTTTGACTCATTGGTGTTGAGGGAGTTTCTGTTGCTGCTGCTCTGTCCAGTGGGCAGTGGTAGCAGGAACTCCTTGGGCAGCCCTACGCGAGATAAGCTGTCAGAACAGTGTTTCCAAAGGCTGCACACAGGCCACTTTGAAGTAAGCAATTGTTCTTAATCAGCTACGCCAGGGCCGTGGAGATACGAGTAGCCTCTGACTCTGAGTTCCTGTGTTGTGTCTAAAGAAGGAGCTCGGTTGGGAAAACTCAGGACACCCACAGAATGTATTCAAAAACAGTGTTTAATAATCAGAAGCTTCATAAAGAAAAAACCTGAGATGTCACATTCTTTTTGTCTAAATTTCAGATTTTTCTTGATCAACCTTATAATTAGTGTGAATGCAGCCTTTAAATGCACTTCTGAGTTGCCATGAGTTGACTTGGTAGGAGTTCATTTAACTTACCTGCTAGATGATTCAACTAAATGTAAAACGTGTCTTTACAGGCAGACAGCCCCCTCAGCAAGGCCTGATCCTCGTTCTGGACACCAACATTCTCCTCAGTCATCTGGATTATGTGAAGAACATCCGATTTCAAGGCCTTGGAGGTGTTTAATACAGTACCACAGACTACTAACCAGTTATTAATTATACCAGTATTCTGTAGAGTGATTTATGTGTCATATAATTAAGTGCCTTTAGAGACACTCCCAGCTGGTCGTGTCCTCGGGTTATATTTTGTGAGGAGAACTGGAAGAGCAAGTAAAACCTCAGTCTAAAGAGTGTGTCATACCCTGATTCAGTGACGTTGGCACGAGCAGGACTGTAGTCTAAGTTTGTGGACCGCATTAACGAGCATCGTCTCGCAAACCAAAAAATTGAACCACAGGGTCTGTACAGCTGAAAACATCACTCAGTATGACATTATGGGCTGCAAGGTGGTGCAGTTGGTAGCCTTGCAGCTAGAAGGTCGCCGGTTGGCGTTCCGGTGAGGCCGCGTGGAGTCTCCATGTTCTCCTTGTGCAGCGTGGGTTCTCTCCGGGTTCTTCCTCCCACAGCCCAGAAACATGCTGAGGTTAATTGGTGATTGTAAATTGTCCGTAGGTGTGAATGTGAGTGTGCTTGGTTGTCTGTCTCTAAGTGTAGCCCTGTGATAGACTGGTTACCTGTCCAGGTGAACCTGCCTTCACCCTGAGTCAGCTGGGATAGACTCCAGCCCCCCATGACCCTAGTGAGGGTTAAGGTGTAGAGATGATGGATGGATGAAATATGACATTATAATTTAGAGAAATGTAAATTCCAAGAAAGCAAAACATTCTATTTCCACAATTTTGCAATGTGTTTGTGAAACATGGGATCACCACTACTTGCTCTGTGTCCACTCTGTGTTCTCTTAGCCCTGGGCTTCCCTGTCGTCCTGATCCCCTGGGTGGTGCTTCAGGAGTTGGATTCCCTAAAAAGGGGAAGAGGCTTGTCAGGATCTGTGGCCCACCTGGCAACTCCCGCCATCTCGTACATTTACAACTCTTTGAAGAGCCGGGAGCCCCACCTCTGGGGGCAGTCTATGCAGCAGGCTGCTGGGAGCATCAGTGAGTGCCGAGGAAATTAATTGATTACAACCAGGATGGAACTTACTAACGAAGCGTGGTTTTTGTCAGTTGGCATTGCAGGCAAAACATTCAGGGGAAAGTGTTTCTATCAGTTTGTAACAGAATATTCAACTTTTCACAACATCACTCCAGTCCTTTTGGATTTTTAGCTGTAAAAAGTGGGTTTGTTTAGAGTGTATTTTTTTAAATTTTTTTTAATATATTAAAATGTGTTGGCATGATTTATGTTTTTGCAATTAAAGCCAACATTCTGGTAGAACATTATTTGGAATGAGCTTTCTGTATTTTATAGAGTTTGGCGTGTGAGAGATTACAGCCTGTCGTCGCTTAAAGTATTTAAAGCCTGACTGTTCACTGCTCAGACACTAGGTGGCGCTAACGCTAAGCTGTTCTTTCATCTTCATCATTGCGTGCAGCTCAAGGGCAGGTTGCATGTGTGTGTCTCCAACAGACAAGTGTCTTGAAGCAGAAAATCATTCAACATTTCTTTTAAACTAGATGTGAAATCTTGTGTTCTTCACTTTTGAATCTCTCACGTCAACAACAAAAAAGAAGACACACTGTGCTCTGCTGTTGAGTGAATCCTGTGTGCCGTGTACTTTCAGTGCTACTGAGTAAACCTAAGTCTTTGTGCCTGAGTCGACTGAATTGTTTGTCTCAGCTGCTCTTGTCTTCATGTTCTCTCCTCTGTCTCCCTGCACCTTCTTGTCCCCAGATGGTCTGAATGCTGAGAATAATGATGACAGAGTGCTGCAGTGCTGCCTGCAATACCAGAATCTGTATCCAGAGTGTGCTCTCATCCTGTGCACGTGAGTCCCCCCTCCCCCCTGCAGTCAGTGCTGCTGCTGCTGCTGCAGAGTGTGTGTCCTCTGCTAATAATGCACATGCATGTGACTGTGAGTGGGTCCAGCCAGATAGTTCCAGTTGGGATGAGAGAAAAGAGAGCCAGACAGTTATTGGCAAAGAATAGATGTGCTGACCAAGGAATTCTGAGTTCAGTTCAGGAATGTTTGGCTCACATTCACTGTGGCATTATATTATTTAATTTTCTTTATCCTTTTGACCTATTTTTAAACAATTGTCATTTTTTCCAGACACTGTTATTAATTGTTTTGCTAAACTGAAGAGCACACACATTGGATTAGTGCTGCACATTCAGTTGGTCAAATAATTCTGGATCTGTGTAGCACAAGTTGTGTAAATGTTGTTTTTGTTATCGCAGCCAGCTAATTAAAAAATGTGCCTCCGATCTTTTCTCTCTAGCAATGATAAGAATCTGTGCAGTAAAGCCCTCCTGAGTGGGGTGCATGCCCTCTGCAAGAATGATTTGGAGTCTAAGGTTGAGAGATCCAGACATGGCCCTGACATCCCGCAGAACATTCAGGCTCCCATGCTGCCTCACATCAGCCCCCAGGCCTCACCACCAATGCTAAGCAGGAGCTGCACACCAGCTCAGCCACACAGTCAAGAGAAAGCAGGCTGTTCCGTAGGACTCGTGGAGAAAGGTGAGCCAAGGATTAATGTGTTCTTCATGCAAAACAGGAAGTAGCTTGGCGCGCTCCATCATCGTGTAACAGTTAATGCCATCCATGCGCTCACCATGTCCACCCACACTTTCCTATTTTCCCTTTTTTCCTTCACATAAAGGCAGTTACTGCACCACAAACTGTTCTAATATAAAATGACAAAATACAAACAAATCAAAGTGTCAGAAACTCGTCAGCTACACACACTGAGTTGGTATTACAGATGGCCAAAGTGCTTTTTCTCGTCAAACTGCTTCTTTAATTCACATTATGTTGATTGTGCTGACGTAAGCTTATGCTAACCGTCATGCTACACAGACGTACACGTTTGTCCTCGTGTCAGGGACAGCAGGTGTTCTGCTTTATGTGTCTACTATGTTTCTACACTTACATATGTGTGCAATTGTGCCTCTTTACACAGATACTAAGCGGCTCAGTGAAAGAAACCAGGAGGAGACAGAATTGGACATTAGCACAAGTGTTTGTCGACTGGAAGGCTGTTTACGTGAGGTGCTGTCTCATGTGTTAGAGGTGGAGATGAAGGCTGCTTACGACGACCTCTGGCTAGAGGTAACATTCATGTTTTCAATTACATCTTATTGAGACTAGATTTTAATATAGAGCAAATCTGAATCCATTTTATGGGATAAATATGTGGATGAGTGTAAATAATGCCACGACATTAAAACCGCCTGTCTAGTATACTGTAGGTCCCCCTTTTACTGCCAAAACTACTCATCTGTGTATATTTTAGTGAATGTCTTTAAATCACAGGCAGCGTTTTTGGCCAGTAATGTTTCTGTAAAATGTAAACAAGAATGCAAATGTTGTCCCTGAGTACACAGAGTGCTGGACTGTACAGATAATTTAACGTATTACATGTAATGCATGTCCATACAGTTTATACAGCCGGCTGAGGTTTACATCAGACTGTGACCAGTGATATGTACATTTTGCATAATATATAGTATATTATGCAAAATGTACATATCACCGGTAAATATTGTAGTGAATGATATCTATTTGAACATTTTAGGCCATTGTTTGATACCGTTTTTCTTCCTGTAAACAGATAGTTTATCGAAAGCCACCCTGGACTCTTCCAGATGTCCTGGAGTGTTTAAAAAAGCACTGGATTGCTGTTTTTGGGCACATTGTCCCACGGAGCAAGCTGCAGACTGTTTTGAATCTCATCAAGTTCTTTAACTCAGGTACGTACAGTTCATATGTGTTGCAGTGGTTGTGTCCAGCCCGCTAACGACCACGTATTTCAGTGACCACAAGGTTATTTTGGATGCTTGTGTGCTTATTTAATTATTTCCTTGTTTTTGTCACAGATCTTGCAGCAGCAGCTATGACTTGCACCATCTGTGTGTGTGCAGTACATTGCCTCTGACATTGTTTAATTTAGCATAGCCTCTCTTGTTCTGAATGTGGAAGACTTGATAATATCATCCACTCCAGATGAAAACGTTTGATGCCAGATTCCTGGGAGCTAATTTGAATCCTCCTTAGAACGTGAACAATAGATTTTGAAAAACAGTGATAACCTTGAGATGCTGGAGAGCTGAACTCGGCTCCCTCACGTGTCTAAATACTGCACACTCATTGTTCCATTTTAACAATGTCAAATCCATAAGCTGAGGAATATTGATGAAGATTAATAGCTTGTCTGGAAAAAAAATCGACATCACTCAGTGCTGAAACCTCAAACATCCAGAAACTGTGCATTAGTTAATTGAAAAGCAGCGTTTTCTTTTTATTCTGAGTCATCCCTCAGAGTCATCCCTCAGATAAAACCCCCACTGCACGGGGGTATGACGTTGCCTGCCCTGCACTGCGCTAGAACCCTACAGAACTACATACAGAATCAGGTCATCTGCTAAAGTGGGAGACTCAAATGTGTGTCAGAAAGCTGCTGAGTCGCCCACTGCAGCACTCCTCGGTCTGGATCTCGTTGCTGGATCCACTTGCTTTGTGCTTACAGTGCTAAATGTGTGTGTGTGTGTGTGTGTGTGTGTGTGGCTCAGCCTCTCATTCAGGCTCTGTGTCCACCTGTGTGGGGGTGACTGCTACACCAGTGGCACAATCATTTTTTAATCCACATAAGAATGCTAATGGATTAAACTGTGGGGTTTTGCCCTTGTTCTATTTATCCTCGGTTCACATGCATGAGTTTGGATTTCTCGGTACCACGCAGCCTGGCTCTGTGCCAGGACTCCGAGAGTAGGGCGAGGAGGAGGAGGAGGAGGAGGAGGTGGTGGGGGTGGAGGTGGGAGCAGAGGAGGAGGTGGAGAAAAAGAAGAAGGAGGAGGTGGAGGAAAGGAGGAGGGATGAACTGTATGTGAGGCTAAAAACAAATCTAGGAGTGGAAAAGTACTGCATGCGATTCCCTGGTCTCCCTTAAGAAGACTGTGAGTGTGTGTGTAGTCACTTGTAGCTACACTTGTGAGGACAGACTTTTCACATGCATCCACAGAGAAACGAGGCTCATTTTCAGAGCTGAAGTGTAAGATTAAGACAGACACGTAGCTGCTATGGTGAAGGATGTAGTAAAAATAAAAATGAAAATATACTCTATTCTTTCAAATGTATAGCAACATTAACTCCATGTTTATCATTTAACATGTTGATGTGCTCCCTCATATATGTATAAATGCATGTTTTATTGTAATGTGTGCATACTGTGCACTGGTTTTGCAAGTCTGAACAAAACACACACACACACACAGGTGCTCAGAGTCAGTCTGAGCTGACTTGTTTTTGGCCAGAGCGTCCCACAGCCTGGCTTTGCCTTCCATCTTTATATTCATAACAGTTCTTCACACAAGGTTGCACAAACAAAGAATCCGCTCATAGTCATCCAGTCCCCTTTGCCTCACTTTCATATGTGTGCTATTTACAGTATGCATGTACTTTTACACTCCAAACCCGTAGGAACACTAAAACTAATGCAGCTTCTTACAACAGTCGTCTAATAGATATAATGTTTTACAGCTGTGTTGTTTCATTCTGAAAGCTGCAGTATGTGGTGCTTTTAAACTGCATCATGTTATGTGTCTTACATGGAAGTGATTCATTTAGTTAGCTGTTGACAGGCGACTGAACGTATGTATTAGCTTTATGTGCGTGTATGTTCCTGTCCCATTTCCAGTGCAATGATCTGATAGTTAATACCACATGAATGTGTGTGTTCTGTCAGGTGCAGCAGCGGACCGTAGCACTACCTCAGTGGCCCTTCAAGAAGCTCGGGAGCTTGTGAAAGCTTTCTGGAAAAGTTCGAGCCATGTTCCCCACGCCATCTCTGTAATGGACGACATATTCAATAAGCTGCAACCTCAGGTCGGCTGGAGCACGTTTCAAACCTCAGCGCACTTAATGCAGCGGAAGCTCAAATTTCCGCTTCTGGTCTCTGTTAAACGTCTGCTGCTGTCTGTCTGTCGTGTGTTCATGTGATGGTTTGGAAGCACGTAAACGCCCGAAGAACTGTTTGTTGTGTTTATTTCTGTCATGTGTATCGAGTCTGTATTCAGAGACCACATGGAGGAAGTTAGTCTGTTTAAGATTAAAGCTATTTTTCAATTTGTGCAGGAGCTTCATCTGTCTGCGGAGGGAGACTCTAGCTCCAGTGATGTCGTCATGAATGATGATGATGAGGAAGAAGAGCAGCCCACACCTGCTCAGGTCTCTCACCAGGAAGTGTGGGCTGTGTTTGAGAGCATCTGGTCCAAAGTGTACCCAGTGAGGTGGGTGTGATGAGGATTTTTTTAATGAATGCACTGTTTGGATTCCACTCATGAGTGCAGATAACAGGTTAAGATGATGTGTTTCTGACCTATTTTCACAGAGATTTTCTTGGATTTGTTTAAAGGATTAGAGCTCTTCGTTTAGCATCTTTACTTTATGTCAACATGGTTTCAGAAATTGTTGTTTCCTGCAAGAGGACACTCCAGAGAGTACAGTGGCAAAGTGTTCTGCAGCGAGGACAGCTCAGTAAGAGTGTAGAGAAATTGGATTTAAAAGCGGACAAATTGACCAGCTGATTATATGAGAGAGTCCGTTCTGGTAATTAAAATGACAATAAACGGTCACATGAAATAATTTGCCTGAACAAAAACAGCGCTTTGGAGGTTAGTTTGTGTATTTGGTTTTCTTCCATTCCACTGACCCCTGAGGTCATTTTTTTCTGTCACGTTACAGCTTAGAAGTGTTCAAAGCTCTGGGCTTTGACCCTTACACCATGCAGAGTGCTCAGCCAGTGGGAGGTCCTCCACCGCCACAGGACGCCTTAGCCTGTTTGCACAAACTGTCCTCCATGGTCTCACAGCTGCTCCAGGCCTTCAGCAGGTATGTCGGCCCACTCGTATCACTGCTGTCAGAATAAACACAACACTGGACATTTTGCTCATCTGCGTGTCGGCCTCAGTGACCTTGATCTCGACAGCCAGTCCCTTTAGGAAGCACCTTTTAAACCGTCCTTGGCTTGTCCTTAGCTAACCGTGTATCCTCCCCGTGTCTTGGTTATGTTTGTGTGTTCTACGCTCTCATAGCTCTCAGGCTCTATTCGGCGTGTAGTGTTGGTCAAGCTGTAATCTGCTCGACCTTGTCCTTTGCCTTATCACCTCTCCCATGACGCAGCAGTGAGCACTGTAGCATTGCAAAGTTTCTCACCGTGCCTTCCAGAAGAAAAATCTTACCTCAAGGACATCGTGCAGACTTTGCCGGTGCTTCTGCTTGTGCTGCGTTAACATCTGAAAATAACGAGCTTTGAAAGAGATACGCACAGTTAACAATCATCCACGAATCACACCGGGGCACGAGGCTGAGGTGATCTTTGGTTGATGGTGCTCTTGATGTGCTTATTGAACTTCTACGATGGTGATGTCAGTCTTTCAAGCTAAGCTAAGTGGTTTCAGTTCAGTTTGTCTGTCTGCTGTCCCAAAGCAGACATTTGGTGGGCAGTCATTTTGTTTTTTGACTGTTTTTGTTCTCTTGGTGTTGATCTACATGTTTGCTGTGGCAAGAGTGGGAAAACATTCACAGAGGATATTTTGACATCACAGTAAAAAAAAAAAAACAACAAAACAACCGTGTAAATCAGGGGTGTCCAATCTTTTCTCTCTTCCATCACACCTGATTCAGATGATCAGGATCGTTATCAGGCTTCTGCAGAGCTTGATGATGAGCTGATCATTTGAATCAGGTGTGCTGGAAGAGGGAAACATCTACAACATGCAGGACTGTGGCCCTCCAGGACCAGGACTGGACACCCCTGGTGTAAATGATAAAGTTAAGCAGGTCATTCCAGACGCCCCTCTACCGAGCAACGCTTTCCAGTTCCTCCTGAGAGGGACGCCCAAATTAATCTAATTTTACATACGTGAATGCAATAATAAAGAGGGTCCTCACACTTTCAACAGCTTCATACTCAAAGCTTTCATTTCTTCAGCAATAGGAGCAACTACTGTAAAAGCTAATAGAGTCTGCGGGGCTCTTTCACTTGTCTCATCAAAAATAATTTAGAAAAACAACCGTGCTTTTAACTTTTAAAGCCCTTAGCTGGCTCGTTACGTATTCACAGTTTTTAAATATCTTTTCATTGTTTAAAGAGAGATTTCATGGCTCCCACACACACATACAACATCTAAATATCACACAAGCAGTCGCTCCAGTCATAGTCTCTGCATTATTTATTCCCTGAACAGGATTCACTGACATTTAGGTCTCTTTGAGGACAAGTAACAATAAACTCCTGCCATCCAAAGGTCAAAGTGTCCCTCTGTTTCATGCAGGTGTCGCTCTGAACTGCTGCTCTTCAACCAGCATAGATGCTTTTTCCTTTGATAGTGATGTGTCCCCATAAATAACCTTTGTTTGTTTGCTGTGTGAAAATGTGGGATTTTATTTAGTTGAGGCAATATTTGATCTGTGCTTGAACTGGGACAGTTCATTGCTGCGTACCTGCACCGTCCCAGCTCCTTCCTGTTGTGGTTTGCTATTGATCGTATTTCTGCCTGTGATGGTATGTTTGTAGACTTGCTTAATTTCTTGTATTCACTGTTTGCTTTGTGTTTTTTCTGCTCCCCACTGAATCCACAACATGTTGCGTCACACAGAAAATTCCTCGCAGTGCAGACTCTGGTCTACCAAACAGATGTTGGCTCATTTTAATGATTTTAACGACAAGATAAGGTTGTTTATGGCTATTTATTGCTCTAATGATGAAAGACGGTAATTCAGTGGCTTTAAAACAGACAAAGGAGGCTGCTAAGGTCACTGACCTTCTAAATATGTGTTCTCAGTGCATTTTATTACCTCCTAAACCCTCTGGGCCTCTCAGCTCCTCTTGTTTATTGTCTGTGCTGCGCAGGTTAAGCTAGTGTTTTGGTGTTTCATTACCAGAGGTTTCACCGTGTCTAATATACGTCCCGGATGTTTTGTTTTGATGGCATGTACTTGCTATGTCCGTTCGAGTTTTCTGTGATGTTTATCTGTAATTTCATGCTGAGCACATCTTGTGATGGTACATCTGTGGCTGCCGCTAAAGCATGTCTTTGTATGATGGTAATCAGTCGGAGGAGGAGAAGTGCTTTGTGATGTGGCTTTGTTTGTGATGTGGAGAATCTGGTGTTGTGTTGCTGCTGAAGCCCTGAGCACGATCAATACCTCAGTCTGGTGAAGGTGCAGATGCTTAGCCTGCACAAAAAGCCCCGGACAAGTTCTGCACCAACGCAAACTTTTTTTTTCAGGTCCTGCTTTTCTTTCAAGCTTGTAGGTATTGTGTCTGTGTGCAGGGCTGTGAGATGCTATTACCTCTAAATATATAGATAAATATAAAGTAAACGTACATTTATCAGTGGGGATGCCTCTGAACAACCACATGAATATGTATATACTGGGAAAAGGCAGTCGGCTGTATAATTCATCATCCTGTTGGTGAAACGCTGATAAACCAAAGTGTTTTGTGTAAGCTGATGGTGGAACATAGCAGAGGAAAACAGGAATTTTCCATCGATTAATTTACTCACTGGTATGAAGCACAATGAGTTGATCTGAGTAGCGATATGTACCAACAACAACAAAACCACTAAAATGTTCGTTTACAGGAAAAATAAAAAAGTGTTGTGAAGTGGTTCAGAGCATAAACAACAATCAGTCCACTTGAACACACCTGCAGTATAAACACGACTGTACAGTGTTAGTGAGTTAGGATGTGATTTACCAGCGTGTCTCTCCATCTGCAGGAATCTCGGTTCCCTGTGTGCACTCGCTGTGTGTATCTGCACCTATCTATGCACATCAAGTGTGTGTTGGGCTGCCTGAGCACCGTTGTCTAGGAGACGGCCAGACTCATTTTCACGTGTTTGAGCAGAGCGATGACTCACTCCGTACAGGCGATCTCTCTCCGTCTCCCCCTCACTCATTTTTCTCATTCGGTGGACACTAGACATGGATAATTTAGATCTCTGCTCCGATTACCTATTTTTTTTTCTCCCCCCCCTCATTCTTCCCTTCTTTACCATCAGTGCTTGCAGTCTTTTTTTTGTGTTATTCTATGTTTTTCCTTCACAGCAGCGTACTGTGATGCAGCGTTTGACTGTGCTGTGTGTGTGTGTGTGTGTGTGTGTGTGTGGTGCATAGTGGTGGATGCATGCATAGATGAAACATTAAAGAACGTACTTGTTTTCAATGATGTGTTCACGCTAGAGTCGTTGCAAAGGATATCAGACATTCAGTGCTTATTAAGACCACCGGGGTAACAGGTGGAGCACCGTAGACCATCCGGCATCATGAAGTGCTTTAATGCACTCGGCTCTCCACGTTTTACCGTTTGGAACAGGAATAAGGAATTTCAAACTGAATTTACCTTTTTATAGCCAAATCTGAGCAGCTCACTGGACTTCTCTGACAAATCACAAATAAATCAGGCTTAACATCCAACCACTAAAACACATTTTTATGTTCAGGAATGCAAGTAAATAACTATAATTTGACGTCTTAATCAAGAAATAATAATGTGCTTTACTATTTTTTCTTTGTTTTTTCTTGTAAAACAGTAAATTTAAAAATTCCTGGATAACGACACTAATTATATTTTAGCATTAAATATATCATTTGGGTTAAAGAGCTTCTATATACTGGTTTATTAGCCGTTACAGAAACATGAAGGATTTTGGTAATTACCAATGCTGTTAGTTTAGGGCATAAACCGTACATTGGGTGGTGGTCTGATAAATTTATTAAGCTCTGTATGAAAAAGTTTTGGGGGTTTTTACTCTCTGAACCATAGATATGTATAATAAAGGCTAGATTTCTCGTCCGTGCTGCCAGCCAATGGAATGGCACGTCCCCACTGGCGGCCATCTTGGTACGGTCCGCTCGCTCACCCATAACATCATGTTGTAGTGGTGCATGTACTTTTTAAATAACCATAACTTGCTCAATTTTCTACCGATTTTCAAACGGTTTGATTTGTTATAAACGTCAGAGGTGTAGTTATAACGCTGCACTGATGGATAATTATGTTACACTTCTGGTCAAAAGTTTGATACCATTATTATATATATATATATGATATATGATTATCCATCCCTTATCTATACACCGCTTTATCCTCATTAGGGTCGCAGGGGGGCTAGAGCCTATCCCAGCCGACTCAGGGCGAAGGTAGGGGACACCCTGGACAGGTCGCCAGTCCATCGATATATGATTATATATCATCATAATTTGAATTGGAGCCACGTTAATAACGTTTGTAAGAAAAAAAACCGTTTGTAAATCCGTCAAGATTTCAGTGAGATCAGAGTATTTACGTTTATGCAGATCACTCACCTTCCTTCACGTACCACAGGGTCCGCCAGAGAGCTGCCTGTGGCAAGATGGCCGCCGGTGATGACGTTAGAGACTCTGCGTTTAGACCTCTAGCCTTTATTATACATATCTATGCTCTGATCCACTGAACCCACCAGTATGTCTGAAAGGCTTTTAAAAAAACAACAACATAAAATTACACTATTTATCAAAGTAGTAACTGTAAAAACTAGAAGAATCATCAGATATTGAACCTTTTCAGCTCCTCATGTTTTTTTTTTTATTACTAATGCAGCTTGAAGTCCTGGTAGTTAAACTAACCAAATCTAGTTAAAAAATATTTAACCAGAATTACTTTGTCATATATGCCCCGTTAAAAAAAAAAAGGTCAAAAATAAACCAGATCTGAAAAAAAGAAAAACAAAATTAATTTATGGACTTCCCAAAGCAACAGAAGAAATCATGAGAGACTTTGTATTTTTTCTGAGTTCCATTGTATGTTGTATTGCTTTTATTGTAAGGCGACCTTGAGTGCCGTGAAAGGCGCCTTATTAAATAAAATGTATTATTATTATTATTATTACTGTGACCAAGTGTTGTAACAACAATTCAGGGACTTTTCAGCCGAACTGCAGACGACTGAGCAAACGGGAGACGAGCAGACCATTAGAGAGACTGAGAGGAAAATAAAACACTCTTGAACTATAAAATAAATAGAGCGTGTCTCTGAAACAGTACACAGTGGAGCACGTTGTTGGAATACAGTCAACATGGTGAAACAGCTTCGTAGAGTCCATGTTCAGAGTCGTGTGGAGGAATGCTGAGTTTGCAGAGGCTGTAAAAACGACATGAATGAATAATAGTGAAATAGTGAAGTAGTGTGCAGTGTCACCATTTGTTCCAGTATCAGTAGCATCTGTGGGCACTTGGGAAAATGTAGGAAAAGGTGATTCCTTGTTTTTTTTCAGTTGTAAATTGAATTATCAAAGAAAATCAACTTTTGGTATGTTTTTCATTTTTTACAACTTTTTATGGTTTATGACATTACATACATAACTTCCATACATCTTCTGAGTTCAGTCTGTGGTTGTTCCGTTTCCATAGAGGTGCAGGACTTTATTTTGCAGTTAAAAATGAGCCCACAGTGATTAAAATGCTCACTTCCATAACTGTGTTTACACTTTATTGATCTTATGAAAGCTTATTCAGATTAGATTTACTTGTGAAAAGTTTCTTCCAGATTCAGATATAGATTTAACTCGACTTGTTTCAAGATTCACCTGGAAGAGAAATCATCTCTGAGTTTGTTTGTTTTGTTCTTTTTGCTCCTCAGTGTTTTGTCCTCAGCTCCTGGTTTGGAGGAAGTCCAGAACCTGCTCAGCATCATCCAGTCCAATAAGGTTGGTGTCATGTCACAGTTACTGGAATCAATCAGATGGCTGCTGTTTTAATGGAATCTGTCGAGTGGACGTTTCCAGGTTGAGCTCACCTTAATTTGTTCATTTTTAACTCTGTTTGTTTGCCTTGTGTTGCAGCTCACTGATGAAGATTCCAGATTAACAGCCAAAGACCTTCTTGATTGTTTCTCACAACCAGACTACAGGTAGGACACATTCATAAAGGAAATAGTTGTATACGAGGTGTGTCAGAAAGGTTCCAGGACTGGTGTCACAAAAGATATATTTCAAATCCAGACTACAAACTACCAGTTTTCTCCTTCCACGTAATCCTCCTGGAGTCCACCACCCTCCTTCAGCCTTCTCTTCACACCGCCATGCACTCCTGGAAGGATTCTTCCTGGATCTCTCAGCTCTGTCCTCACAGCCATCTTGATGTCGTCCACGTCTTCTAAACGGGTCTCCTTGATGACCCCCTTGAGCTTGGGGAAGAGGAACCAACCCCACGGAGCCAGGTGGGGTGAGTAGGGAGGTTGCTCCAGCACAGAGATGTTCTTCTCAGCCAGGAGCTGTGGGATGCTCAGGGCGCTGTGAGCAGGTTGTCATGGTGAAGCAGCCTCCACTGGTCCTGACACAACTCTGCCTCTTCTCTGAACGAAGCAAACGCTGCAGGATCTCTGTAGACGTGCTGGTTGATGGTCTGAAGGGGAAAACTGGTAGTTTGTAGTTTGTAGTTTGAAATATATCTTTAGTGACACCAGTCCTGGAACTCTCCTGACACACCTCGTCTATACTGTGATAAAGAAAGCGTAAAATGTTGCTGCTGCTGCACTGCGACCTTTGCATTCAGTAAATCGGAGGGATCTGCTGCCTTGATTGTTGACGTGCCCTCTGAGGTGATGGATGTGTTTAGCAACGACTTAACTTCTCACCAAATATTGCAATCACACAAGTTCTCAGAACTCTCAGCATGCCCGGGCAAGTATGTGTTTGTCTAGCGGTGTAGCCGTCCCGCTGTAATAGCCCTGCTCTTAGATATCGCCAACAGACCTCTCACAATGATGGTGACCATGCCAACATTTCAAAACAGTTGCGACACTCGCTGCTATCGTGTTTCTTTGGAAGGATAGCGCAGCGATCGCCGGGCTGGTGTATCATGGAAATGCTCATGTGCAGCTACCTGATTCCTGTCAGCTGTTGAAACATAATCACGCTTTGTCTTGGGGGGATAAGGACTTTTTTCGTTGCACTGTCGGGACCTAATGTTGGTTCTACGCTAGGGCTTATTTTTCAAGGGGCGGAACTACCAAGAAATAAATGTTTACTTCATGTGAACCGCCGAGATTCGGCAGAGCTCCGACATGAACTCTCGTAAAGTAGAGGAAGTGTTAACAAGCTTAGTTATGTGTCACTTCATGAGGGTGTAGTCACCGCCACCAGGCTTCAGCAGCTGGTTTTAACCTGAGGTCTATAGCTCAGTATCCTTGTAAATTGTAAGGATCTTATGGAAGGAGCCCAAGGAAGGGCTAAATTTAGGACCACAAAGTAACTCCTGCCCTTCTAACACAGGTTGTACATCTACACCTTGTCTTACATTATCTTGCCCTCACAAGTGCCTGTCTTGAACAACAACACACATAAAGGTACACGATGATCCGACTTATCTTGCACATTTCCTGCTTTTCACCTTGTATGTAAGATGTTTGAAGTTAAACTGGTCACAAGTGAACATAGCGACACGTAAAGTTAACGTTCACACAGCTGACACAGTAAGCAGAACGTTGGTTAGGTACAGCTCAGGTGGGCAGTGTTGTTGGGGTGCATGATCAGGGAAAAAGTTCCTGTCAGCATATTATTAATTCAGGTGGTCTGACAGGAAACGAGGCATCTGCAGCCCTTCGTCTTCACTCTGTTCTCAGGATTAAGAAAATATAGCATGTGACCGGAGATGTTAGCTACTCGTAGAGCGCCAGGTGAGATATAGCAACAGAGGATTCAAACCCCATGTGAAGCCACAAATAAATACCGACTTTAAGCTTAACTTGGTCATTTCAAGCGTGAGCTGGTCTGGTGGGAGGGACGTGGAGCAGAAAGAGAATACAGGAGAGGAAATGACGGATGATTTATTGCTGGATCCAGCTCTCAGATGTCAGGACTTGATATTGTTCTGTGTTTTTAAAATTCAGTTATTTTGATTTATTCTCCTTTTTGAAATTCTCTTTGTGTCTGTGGCAACTGTCAGTTCAGCAAAGTCAGCCACAACAGAAAATGTATTACTGTTAGAGAGAGGCATTAAACAACAGAGTGATCCACGACATCACCGACCATCAACACACCTCTGTTCAGGTTCAGCAGAGATGTACTGGAGGTTATGGAGGGTCTCTAGGCACAGGCAGCCACAGAGTGGTTGTATATCTTGGGCTTTTTGGACTCTTGGTTTGATGTCACTTGGAAAATTGAGATCAGAACTAGACCAATAAATCAGGCGGACCGAGTCTAGTTGGAGGTCAATTGGAAACTGTTTGTCCACAGAGCAGCACATCGTCCAAAATGTCTCCCCTGTGATGTACATCAGTCACAATGACAACTAATCAATATAATACTCACTTCTGTTTAAGTTTCTTCATTCTCAAATTAAAATATCTGCATCATGCTTTAAAATCTGGTTTAGATCAAGCTATAGTTTTGATATAATTTTGCCATTTTTAACCTTCATTCTGTTCAAACATTTAAAAACTTAACAATCTGCCGCCTACATTAACAGTCCATAATAAAACTACTTGCTACTGGTTCTTCTCAAGTGTAAAATAACACACATGCAGTGTTTTATCACTTATATTTGTCTCACCTTTTTGGTGATGGAAAAGCAAACTTTACTTTTAGCCCCTGATGAAGCAGCAGCAGGCTGCTGCGTACCTACAGGGACGACCAGGAGCCCTTCAGTCCATCAGGATGTAGTTCTCCAGCTGTACTGCAGGTTGAACCAAGCTGCTGCCATGGAAACAAGCCGCAGTTCGATGCATTCAACAGATTATTTACTTCCTGGCCATCGTGCGTCTTCTCCTAATGCTGCTGTTTGACTGTCCAGAAGCTTTTTCTGATCATTTCATTACCGCAGTATGGGACGCATCGACTTTCTCTATTAGTAGAATTGATTTTCTCAGTCGTCAATCACTCCAAATAAATGATTTTAAATAGCTTCTGTGGTTTCTGTTAGCACAATTCTCTAAAAGAAATTGTCTTCTAACTGGAAGCATCAGTTCCCTGTATTTCAAAGAGGTGCTTTCTTACACGGATTGACACTGATGTGAAGCCGTAATCAAAGTTTATTTAGTGCTGAAGACGACATCTGCTGCGTGGCTCTGTGGCCGCTCACTAGTCACGTCGCTCCAACAACAGGTCACCGCCAAAACACAAAGCTAAGCTGACAGTGTTGTGATTGTAAATTTTTTATTTTGCTACATTAACCGTGGAGTAATCTAGACCTTTACTTAGTGACCGCATTATCTGCGGTGTTAAATATTTGATTTGGTGTGATGTCATGAGTTATGTAAGGCCTCCGGGAGCACGTTTGGCCGTCGACAGGCAGCGTTCGGTACAAGCAGGCAGCAGCAGATAAGATTTTACAATGACAGATTAAGAAGTGTGTTCTGTTGGCCTTATCTCTCCTGATAGCAGATGACTGTGGGCTTTATAATACTGTAAATAACAAACTGCAAAATGATGAACGTGAGAGCTCTGATTGAACAGATCCATTGGCGTAGAACCACTAGTTGTTCAGCACTTGGTTCTGGCTGTGTTTGCTGTTGCAGTCTTGTCGTACTTAAACAGAAGAAGAGCTGTCATGTGTTGAGTAGGTAGTGGGTTTAGTTTACAGCACAATCTGATGAACGGTCGGCACCACGTGTTTTGTTGACGTAACCAGCTCATGTATGGACTTGTGTGTTTACATAAAGCGGTCTCTGAAAGCCATCTCAGTGTCACTGCTTTTCTAAGAAAGTCGGAGGGAAAGGATCAAAACAAGTTTCACTGTCCTGTTTGTGTGAAGTCTTGTGGCTCGGCCCAGTTCGCCTTCTGCTACAATACATTCAGGCCCAATAAATGTTTCACTAAATGCAGCCCTGCATCTGTATTCTGTCCGCGTGCCTTCTTCCTCCAGGATGCTCGTATTTGCTGCGCGTGTTCGTCCTAAACTGTCAGACTGTCCTGACATGTAAACACGTGTTTCTGTGATGCTCTGTGAATGTGGGCTTATTTGTGTGTCAGCCTGCTGAACTCAGTGCAGTATCATTTCTGGTGTAATTTCACTCGTGGTCGTGTCGTCAGGGTTGCTGGTGACCGAGTTTTCCAGGCCCCACCGATGACCTTTCCCACATCGTATGTATGTGAATGCATGATCACATGTCGCCGTTCGTGTTTAACCTGCGTATCGTTTCTTGCATAATTGTGTGACTCAGACACACAGCCCTAAAGGCCACCTCCTTATATTTTAGCAGTGAGCCCGTTTGGCATTATCTTATGACATAATATTTACAGGGTACTTTTATGTAACGCTGCCAACAGAATGGCACAGGGGGAAACGCTGGCCTGCTATTTTAGAAACCTACAGGGAACGACACATTGTTCAATGAAGGAACGCCTGAGGCTTTGCAATACTTAATTTTCTGTTCATTGTGATAAAAAACTGCACTGAAGAGAAACTGCTTTGTGTTTAATTAGACAGTTTGTTCTCTTTCAGCTGTTTCTCACAGTCGGTCCTATGGATGGATGGATCAGAGGCATGTTAGAAACAGAGGCAGACATACAGGAGCGCTTTCATCCTCTATTTTATAACATCATCGCTTCATTTAGGACTGTAATTAAGCTGCACCAAAGGCCTTTGCATGTCCTTACATATGTCAAAACTTTAGACGGAAGCCCAGCGCCACCTTTTCTATCGTTAAACTAACGTTCCTGCATAAGCCTCGGCTGAGTCACGCTCTTAAAGGTCAATATTTTGCTTTCAAGTGGTTTCAAAATGGAAAACGTCACTTTTGAAGAAGGCTTGGTTTGAACCACATTATAGTCTGAATAAGATTTCATCACAGAAGCCGTCCCGGTGAGGCTGTGCTGTGGACTGTGCAGTGACACAGTGGAATAAGAGTGTCTCAGACTTACTGGCAGGATCTCTGCTTCCAGTTAGAAAGAGAAAACCTGGAGGCACGTCTGACTGACTGCCATACATGTTCACAGAGAAAACTTGATTGAGGAGATGATCCACGTGTCCATAGCAGCAATTATAGTTAAGTAGAGAGGGAATGCAATTGGAGGCCGTCTGTTCCTAATAATGACGTGATTGGCTGGAGGAGAGCCGTTAGCGGTTATGTCATCTCACCAGATCGTGTGCTCCAACATTCAGTTCAGTGCAAATCATTACTCTGTCCCGGGGATATCCATTAATTACCTGTCAAACACATGTCGGCTGTTATGTAACACACAGAAGCAGCACAGCTCTGCCTCTTTGTGTATACGTTGTCGATCTGGGTCAGTGACTGTTCACAATTCAAGTGCGTCATTGAATGTGTGCGACTGGATCCGTGTTGTAACGCACTTTGACATGACCAGAGTGTCACAGTACTGAACCCAAAGCTGTCAGTGTAAACACTCTGACAGGAAGCCTTTCATGCTCTGTCTGTGGAACATGCCAGAAAGAAAAACCACAGCAGTTGTGACAGAGCAGCACATCCTGGGAGCAGACTGAACTCAACAACAGAGAGCGCTGGCTACCAACCTGTCGTCTCCACAGGTTATGAAAACAGGCTGCTGGAGGAAGGGAAGTGGATGGATAGATGTAGGGTGAAAGCAGGGGGCGTCAGCAGCCAGCAGATCCTTCTCCTTCTTTCCTTCCTGCAGTTACGCAACGTTCCAATGGAAACAAAGCAGAGGAGGAAACAAACAAGCAACAAGCTCCCTCAGTGTCTCTGCTGCCAAGCAGCCGTTGCCAACCATGTGCTCATGGTGAAGACTGGCTGTGTGTTTTTCTTGTGCGTTTGCATCTGCCTCTGGATGTATGTGGTGTTGTAACCAGAAGAATGTAGTTCAGCTGGGTGGAAATGAGCATAAAAAGCTGCCATTGAGATCCAGAGCTTCTGGAAGCTGCCGTGTGCACAGAAGCTCTTTTGTCTGCGATGGACATTGTGTCCTAAACATGATCAGCACATAGAAAGCTCAGTCATCAGGATGTCTGAGTGGAAAAGTCTGGGTTCATCCACACAGCATGAGGATGAGGAGATCGCATGTTTCTACTGGGTTATGTGACATTTTGGGGTTTTAAAGGTTTGTATGAAAAGCAGTGAGCAGGCACCAGAACCAACCGACCGGCTGCGGTCTGTTCAAAGCCCACAAAGGTCGACAAAAGTTACTTCAACAAAAAACAAAAACGTACCCGATACCCCCGCGTTCTGGTCCAGGTACGACCAGTACCTCTGGCCTGGACATGCTGGACTGTGGATGTACACAGCATTCCTGTGGCGAAGCTCTGGTTTGAGTATTGATTCCTGTGAAACGTACAAACCTGGACGACGCTCAGATGCAATCGTAGCTTCACAAATGAGCAAACACACTGAGCCAGCAGCTTTTTCCAGTTGTTCACGTGGAGGATGGTTGATATTAACGAGGGAAACAAAACGCTGCCTGGAAAGGGCTGGAACTTAAAGGATGCTGTTCCAGTCCCCCAGATATCTGTTTCTTACCTCGTTACTGTGTCCATGAGATGCTTTTGACATGCTGGAGGACGTACTGTGTGATCAGGGATTAGGACTTCCAGGGTTTCTTACGTAACAAACCAAAGGAACCAGTCCTGCAGGCTTTCTGTGTAGTTTTTCTTTGGAAGCGGTTTCCAGTTCAAACATGTGTGACTGAATCACTCGGGTTTTACAGAAAGGCATCGTGTCGTGTTAGAGATTCGGGGCAGAGCCGTGGTTGAGCTGATGTGCTCCAGCAGCAGCTGGTTGGATCGATGAGTCGAGATAACAACGGCGGCATCAGACGTCTGCTTATTTCACAGCAGATAGTTCACCCTGTTCAGGACCTTCATGCTGCCGTACGAAGAAGAAAGAATCAGTGCAAAGTGTTTGTTGGCATTCATTATAGACTTTTATACTGTTAAATACATTTTCTAAATAAAAAACACAACACCTGTCACCTAAACCAAATGGCCTGAGGTCCAAAAGAGCCCAGAAGTCCTGAACAGGGTTAGTTGAATAGTTCAAACGTGGCATTACATCCCCTCACCGTCCTCTCCTTCCAGCAAGAGTTTAAGTTTGTTTCTGTAAAAGCCAAACAGCCGCAGGACGTCGTCTCAGGATTCATGTGACACTCGTGTCTTCTACACATCATCGGTTTAAACTGAACCGTTGTGGATCCGACTAAAGAGAAGAGGCGCTTCAAGATCTTCCCAAACGCTCCTCTGTCTTCTCGTCGTTCTCTGTCTGCTGCTGTCTTTGTGTCCGTCTCTGTTTTGTGTCTAACAGACGTCTTGTCCTGTGTCCAGGGAGAAGCTCCGGGTCGGGGGGAGCCAGTTCATGGAGCTGCAGCAGGCCCTGGATCATTGTGTTTGGACCGCAAGTCAAAACAACACCTTCACCACGTAGCGCTGATTGGACCAGTGTTTGCTCATCAGCCAAGCAGACGCCTCCAAAGACCTTTTACTTGAACTGAAGACTGTAAGTTGAAGGCGTGACTGCTGAGACGGAGCGTCCTGCGACCCGACACCTTTACCTCCATCCAGACGAGTGTGTTTGGTGCTTTTGATAGAGACGGTGTTCTCTGAATGAAGGCATGTCTGTGGATGTTCTCCATCATTCTAAAGGTTTATCATTAAACACTGTATTTTCCAGTCAGCGTTCTCCAATAGTCGTTCAGATATTTGACACCTGATTCTCGTGTCTCCCGCCGATCTGCCAATCACGGTCGAGCAGCCAGTTTCCCCGTTTCATCCTTCGCAGAGCGTTTTTACATTTCAAGTCAAATTTATTGAAGAAACACACATTAAATGTTATATTTATTTATTTGAATGGATCAGTTCAACACTACAGCTTCACGCAGGTTAACAATTGGAGAGCAAAAATCTATTTTATGTAAGAGTTTAATGTTTACAACGAGAAATTGCTGCATTTACTGAATTTTTTATTTTTTATCTCAGATTAATTGTTTGGTCCACACAACTGTGGAAGATGGAAGAGAACAAAACTTGAGAACTGAGCACTTGTGGGTTCTTTAGAAACTATCGGCGAGATAGAGAGCAATAATCAGAGACTTTTTATTTTTACAGTTTAGTTTGACAAAATTAGCTTTTATTGGTTTTGGTTGAAAAATGAGAATTTATTTAATGTGAAAGAGTTTTATGTTTCCAACAAGAAGTGAAATGTTGTAAAATATTTTGAAGCATTGTCTTATTAAAGACTTATTTTTCTTATCTGCATCATTGGCTTCCATTTCTCAGTCGAAGCGATTTCCAAACTAATGCGTCTGTTGCGAGCTGCAAGGTGGCGCAGTTGGTCGCTGTCGCCTCGCGTCCCGGTGAGGACACCCGGGATCTTCCTGCGTGGAGTCTCCATGTTCTCCCCGTGCAGCGTGGGTTCTCTCCAGGTTCTCCGGCTTCCTCCCACAGTCCAGAAACATGCTGAGGTTAATTGGTGATTGTAAATTGTCCGTAGGTGTGAATGTGAGTGTGCTTGGTTGTCTGTCTCTAAGTGTAGCCCTGTGATAGACTGGTTACCTGTCCAGGTGAACCTGCCTTCACCCTGAGTCAGCTGGGATAGACTCCATGACCCTAGTGAGGATTAAGGGGTGTGTAGACGATGGATGGATGTATCTTATGCATTTCTCATGGTGCTTCTGTTTGTTTGAAGCAGAACCTCACCTGTGCGGTCCAGAGCAGTGATTGATAGTCTCAGCGTGTCTGCATGTGGCTGCATGTGAGTTTGGTGACTAAGCGGATTAGATGCAGGTGACGCCAGCAGACGGGCTGAGATTACACGAGCTGCTAGTGTGACACATGAAGAGGCTGAAGCGTCAGACGTCATGTACGGAGGAGCTGGAGGGACGACGGGGACAGGAAAGTTAATGATCGTCTGAAAGTCACTGCAGAGCTGCATGCACAGAGGTTCCATTAAACAAGTTTGTGTTGTTGGATTGAGACACGGATCCATTTGCGACTCCTGTTTCATAACTTATTAACTGTCTCAGAAAATCATTTGTAAAGAAAAATGTGCCGTACATTTTTAATGTCCTGTTACTTAACGTCTAAATTTAAACCATCCTCACGCAGCAGCCGTCTCTGCCAGAGGATCTGTGTGGAATATAAAAGCTCACCTTGACCCACGGGGATGTTTTCTCTCCTCGCGCTGTATAATCAAGTGTCTGACTAATGTGAAACAGCTTTTTATCCCAGGGCCGTTCGTTCTTTCACACAGAGGAACAAAAAATGAAGCAGTTTTTCTTGTTTTGTCTGAATTTAGCCTCCTATGTTGGTTGTACATAGTATTGTGCCAACAGGGAAGATTTAAAATACTTTAACACATTAATTTTATATTCATATGCTTAGCTGCTCTTTGGTTCAGTGTCTGCCCCTTGGGAGAAAGTTTAGAGGAAGTCAACGTAATCTATGAGAAGTGTTCCACCTTTACTGTCTAATGCAGTCATAACATGTTGACATAGAAGACGATCAGCATGCGTGTGGCCAGACAATGGCCTATTTGGTTTTGTTTTTTTTTCCTTTTAGTTGACGCGACAGTCAGGTGTGTCGGCAGAGATTATTGGCGACTAACTTGTGAATGAGCACAGGCGAGGGATTTATCCAGCTCTGGCAGGCAGTCTGATGTCTGAGGTCATGCAGATGCAGCCACAGCTCAGCTGGTCCCTTTTCAACACCTCCACAGCCCAGAGTGACTGTCGTCATCCCTTCCTGCTGAGGTCTGTTAGCCAGCTTAGTATAATCTCCCCTAAAAGACACTTGAGCCAGTTTTTTTTTCTCTCTGCTCCTCTCAGTGTGGTAGTCCCTGAGGAAAATGGTGGCCACGAATGCATATACAGCAGTGATGAGGTTATTACTCGACTCCCAGAGCAGAGCTCGGGTAAGATGAGGTAACGGCTAAATATAGTCAGTAAATCAGCTGAAGGTAATTTTATTAAAGGTTTGCAGCACCTGGTGCAGCCGTAAAAACTGAAGTCCATAATGCAACCAGTATCCCTCCTGGTTAGGGTTAGAGGTACAAACCTAAAGATTAGACAATATTTACAGACAGGTGACATATTGAAGGAGAAACCTTCACCCTGGACCCCTACGCTGGGAGGCCCCGTTACCCTGAGGGGCTACAAACTAGACTGAAGACAGAAATCAGATTTAAATGATTTATTAATTAAGAAATGTTACAAATGTGATAATTTTCTTGCTCTAACATTTCTTCCAGAAGAATCTGCCAATGCCTGACACTTTAAAAACACAAAAGAGAAAAAAAAAAGGATTTTCAGTAAACTGCATTTCTACATACATCAATTAGTCGAATCACAATAACAAAAGTTTGGTTAGCAGAAGCATGGTTGTGCGTGTGTGGTGTGTGCACAAAAAAATAAAAAAGAAAAACTAAATCTGGCACTGGTTAGATTCATTGACTTAAGCTGTCTGCTACTACTTTTATTTTACTGGTAAATCAGTGTATAAAAAATATAAAAAAGGCCATCATTTAAGATTCAAAAAGCAATCCAGCTTGTTTAAAATGACACAAAAAGCCATGACAGGTGTTTATCAAGTCGCACTCTGAGTAAGGCTTCAAACCGCTGACCTTTAAATATGTGAGCAAAATTACGTTTCCACAACAGAAATATTCTTAAATAAAACTTGAAACTTCCAAAAGTCAATCGTCACCACTCCGTACTGCCACCTTCCAAGTGACCAACAGCAGAAAGCTCATCTGAAAACCTTCAAAGTGACAAACCTTTAAACTCTAAGAGAAAAAAGAAAAGCACTAAATGTGTAGTAAATGTTGGCATATGACAAAAAATGAGGAAGAAACAAAATATATACAGCACGAAAAACGTTGTATGCAATATGCAAAGGCGTCATGTTGCTCTGGGCAACAACCCTCCCCTTCCACCCACCCCTCCCCTCCCCTCCCCTCAAATATAAGCCAGTCTTCACTGAAGACCCCTCACCCCGACATCCCCGCCCCCACCCACACATATCCGCTCACACACACTCACACACACACACACACACACAGAACATCACGAAACACGATTACGTCACTAAGCCTGTTAGTTTGGAAAAAGGTGAAGCACTGTGAGACCCCCCAACCCCCTCCACCGCCCCCTCCCTGTCTCCCCCGTCTTCAGTCAGAGAGGGGAGACAGGGCCTTGGTGCAGTCGTTCCACTCGTCCGTGTCGGGGTTGTAAACCTCCACCGTGTTCAGGAACTCGTTTCCGTCGAAGCCGCCCACAGCGTAGATGGTTTCGCCCAGCATGGCCACGCCCGCGTTGCTGCGTGATGATGTCATGCTGCCCAGCATCCTCCACTCGTTGCGGGCGGGGTCGTACACCTCCACGCAGCGGAGCGCGTGGGAGCCGTCGAAGCCGCCGACAACAAACAGTTTGCCTGTAAAACCGGGGAGACGTCGACATGACAGTTACCACATTTTGCTGATGAACAGTTTTTCTTATGAAGAGAGAAGCAACTCCTCCACCAACATCTGGCTCCGTGACTTCCAGCTGTGTGATGCTGGTGGGTTTACCTGCATGGACAGCAACGCCAGCCCCCCTGCGGGCCACATTCATGGGGGCTATCAGAGTCCAGGTGTTGTTCTCAGGGTTGTAGCGTTCCACAGTGTTCAGGCAGTTCCACGATTCTGCCCCTCCGATCACGTACATGAAGCCATCCAACTCACACACTGCTGCCTGGTGCCTCCCTGGAAACAAGGACGCTTCATGAGTTCAACTAGTCGTCTCCCCACAGGGCGCAAAAACCAAACGACGCTAAGCTGGTATTTCTACTGCTCGTCTGATTCTTAGAAAGAACGTGCTCTGTGCTGCAGCCTGAAGCTTCATATGTACAAACACACACAGGACGTTCAATCGCTCTAAAGCAGAACATTTAAAAACGAGTTTCATTTCAAGTGTGTGTGAGGCTGTGCAGACACATACTGATGTTAAGGGAGGCACAGTTGGACCAGGTCTTGGTCACAGGGTCAAAAGCATCACAGTTCTTCAGGCCCTTCTGCCCGCAGGGGTCCGACCCTCCCACAACGTAGAGTTTGTTGTTCAAGGAGCAGACACCTTCAGACGGAGACGACAGGAGTAAGTTCAACAAGCCCCGACGTTTCAATGAAGCATTTTCCTGGAAGCGATCATTAAATGAACTCGTTAGTGAATCATCATGTGACACACTGACCTGCATTGCAGCGGTTTGTCCTCAGCTCTGGCACTTGAGCCCACTCGTCAGCATGTGGGTCGTACGTCTCCCCACAACTCAGCTCGTCAGAATGTCCGTTTGAACCTCCAATCACGTACAGCTGACCCTGCGAGAGGCAGAAACAGACGAGTTACTAGAGGACGATGCCTCAGCCTCACACTCACTGCTTTTATTGCCTGATCCACTTGGAGCGACAAGGACAGAAGTTAATAATTCAGACATGCAACTATTTAAACATGGAGTAGATAAATAGTGAAGTATTTGCACAGGACGATGTTTAAACAGGTGCAGGCACGTTCCTTGGACAATATTCAAAAAGTCATTTTATTGTAGAGTCAATAGATCTGTGATAAAGATGAATAGCTCAGCTGCACAAGATAACAGGCGTTCAGGCTCGTATAAGAAACACGCTTTGAGTTCTCAGTAGAACTTGTCACATTTCAAGCCAGACACCAGGAGTTTATCCAGCTTGGTTTCCTCCCCCGGGCCTCTATCTGGAGGTCGGCCTTGATCCCACCTCGGCCATTACTGCAGACGTGGCTTTTGAATGACGACCAGTTTATTTGAGGAGATAAAGCGGTAAACCCTACCATGAGCACAGCCATCTGGAATCGAGCCCTCGGAGTCCGCATTGGTGCGATGAAGGTCCAGCGGTCCTCTATGGGGTCGTAACACTCCACAGTCCTCAGACATTCCTCTCTGTTGTAGCCTCCTGCAGAACCACACAGATGCATCGTGGTCACATTTTATACCCCTGACACTTCACATAAAGCCCACCTGATGAAGCAGTGAAATAAAAACGGCCAATCTCACTAAACCAGTCCAACAAACACCATGTTTTTGTTGACGTGTTGCAGTAAGTGAGCTTTTCTCATGTGTATTCAGCCAACAGAGGCCTGCAGCTCTGACTGTGCTGCACCACAACCTACATAGAACAACCAGTCAGACATGTGCTATCCACGCTGTTTGTTACAGCTTCTCACCCAATGTCAGCTCCAGCCCTCTGTGAGCCTCAG